TCGACGGCGTGGCGTGGTGCGCAGGAACGTTCCGGGCCCCGTAGTGCTCCTGGAGGAGGTCCCATATGCCTGGCGGCCCGCCCATCGCTGCCTCGTCGTCCGCGCGGAACAGGACGCGGTCAGTGACCGCGAGGACCTTGCCCGACAAGCGGGTTTGGCGGGCCCTGCGCAGCGCCTCCTGTCCCGTCAGGCGGCCCTGCTGGACTCTCGCCTGGTTCGCTTGTTTGCCCGTGCGGCGGCCGTGGGCCGAGTTCCCCGGGACGTGTACTTGGAACGCTGTGTGGAGGCGGCTGTGGAATGCCGCGACCGCCGGGGTTGCACCGTCGACTCGGAGGCGGCCGCCTGTGCTGCGGTGCCAGTTGATGGTGGCGCCGAGCGTGGTCCGGATCGCCGGGGCCCAATCGGTGCCGTGCCCTCCATATGCGTTGACGTAGCTGGCCCACTCCGTGTTGTCGTACGCCTCCTTCGTGAAGATCCCTGCGAGGGCGAGCCGCAGGTGGAGTCCCACCAGCCCTTTGGGCGTGAGTGGTTTAGAGAGCCCGCTCTGTCCTCAACCTCCCTTCTTCCCCTTCGGGGAGGGGTTTCCCCCTCCCCCTACCCCCTCCCCCTGGACCTGGAGAGGGCGGGCCGAGCGTGGTCAGGGGGGTCTTTTTTGACTCCTGGAAGGGCCAAAAAACGACGACCCTCGCGAGGATTCTGGCCCCGACGGGGGGAACCACTTTGGCCCCTCTGCTCTTCTTGAAAGCCAGAATCGTTGTTTTTACTAAGGTTTTTGCCTCATTTTGGCGCTCTGAGGGGCCCGCGCTCATCGTCCTTCATAGCAAAATCATTGCTTTTACGAAAGTTTTGGGCTCATTTTGTCCTTCTCAGGGGGTAGCTCTTGCGCTTCCGAAGAGGTCGCAAGAGGCCCCAAGATGGCCCCAAGAGGCCCCCAGGAGGCCCCCAAGAGGCCTCCAAGAGGCCCCCCGGAGGCCCCCAAGAGGCCCCAAGAGGCCCCCAAGAGGCCCCCAAGAGGCCCCCAAGAGGCCCCCTGAGGCCCCCTGAGGCCCCCAATAGGCCCCCAAGAGGCCCTCTGAGGCCCCAAGAAGCCCCCAAGAGGCCCCCAAGAGGCCCCCAGAGGCTCCAAGAGGCCCCCAAGAGGCCCCACGAGCCCGAACGACTCACACCAGGGCGAGGGGCCCGAACGACTCACACCACGAAGATCCCGAACGACTCACACCACAAAGAGGTTCCCGAACGACTTACACCAGGACGAGGCGCCCGAACGACTCACACCACGAGGAGCCCGAACGACTCACACCACGACGCGGGCCTCGAACGATTCACACCACGAGGAGCCCGAACGAGTCACACCAGGAGGAGGGGCAGCGCTCATACAAGCCACCACGAGGAGCCCAAACGACTCACACCACGACGAGGGCCCCGAACGACTCACACCACGAGGAGCCCGAACGAGTCACACCAGGAGGAGGGGCCCGAACGACTCACACCAGGACGAGGGGCCCGAACAACTCACACCACGAGAAGCCCGAACGACTCGCACCAGGACGAAGAGCCCGAACGACTCACACCACGAAGAGCCCGAACGACGCACACCAGGAAGAAGGGCCCGAACGACTCAGACCAGGACGAGAAACCCCAAACGACTCAAACCACGAGGAGCGCTTTCTCTCCCTCCTCCTTCGCCTCGTCCTTCTCCCGCTCCCCCCACAAGGGGGATGTGCAAGGAGGCGGGAGGAAGGAGGAACAAGGGAGATATGCGGGGCCAAGCGGACACACGCCTGAAAAACACGACTGTCGGCATGCTTCGCGAGAGTTGCTGCTGTGAGATGGGCTGGTGGGGATGCGCGAAGCGTAAAGAATTCCCAAAGCTGTTCCTTCGGGTCGTCGCTGATCGCGGCGAACTCGAAGTGCGATGTTGTAGGCGGGGCGGCGGGCTGCCACTCCGGGCGGGCCTGGTCTGCAAAGGTGGCGGCGGGGTCTTTGGGCGGCTGGAGCTGCCTGGAGCTTGCCCAAGCGTCTGCGGACCCTGATGGCGGGAAGGCCCCCGTCTGGAAGTAAGCCTGAGCTGCCGCCTCCGGGGGCGGCACGGCCCCGCCGGCGTTCAGGGCGGCCGGCGTCGGCGTCGGCGCGGTGCTGGCGGCGGGGGGTGCAGCGGCGGAAGCAGGCGTCGTGGGCGGCGCTCGCACGACGGCGGCGCCCGCTAGGGTGGCCTCGGCGGCAAGTGTCGAGCGCTTCTGCGAGGCCTCGTCGGGGGGCGGCACGATGGCGGCGAGAGCGGTCGCGAGGATCCTGCTGCGGGTGCCTGGGGAAGCGTTGGCGAGCGCACCGCGGAGCGATTGCTGAAACTGGGCTTCAGCGTCGGCGGGCGGGGTGGCCGGACACTCCAGGTGCTCAGGGTGCGCGTCAGGGGCGGCCGTCGAAGCAGGGGGGCCGGGCGGCTGCGCCTGGGCCGGCTTGGGCACAGGGCGAGGCAAAAGTCGAAGGGTCGCCGCCGGCGTGGGCGTCGGTGCCTGCCTCCGCCGGGGTGACGGGCAGGGCCGCCGCCCCCGTCGCGGTCGCACTGCTCGCGGGCGCGCTGGGGGCGAGCGCCGAGCGGGGAGGCGCGGAGTTGGTGCGGGCGCGGCCGCGCCGGGGCCTCGAACGCTGCGCCGCGTCCCTGGGGGGCCGCGGCGACTCGGGGTCCTGGCGCGGCGACTTCCGGCGCCGGCGCCTGCTCCGAGACTCGCGCGTGGAGCGCGCGCTGGACTCCGCCCTGCGGCTCCTGCTGCGGCGGGGCTCGTCACGGTTCTTGTCAAACGCTGCCGAAATGACCTTGCGGAGGTCCACCCTCGGGATCGCGTGGTTCGTGAAGGTGCAGTTGAGGGTTGCCTGGAGCGCACGCTCGACCTTGGGCTTCTCGCAGTGCGGCATGGCGCTCGTCGTTGCCAGCTGGCGGACCACCTTCGTGACGCACTCGACGTAAGCCTCGCGGGTGTGGGTCCTGGGGCGGCCCTCGAGGATGCGCTCGATCTTCCGGAGGGCCGGGTTGAAGACCGCCATCGTCTTGGCGGGGTCGAGGCCAAGGCGCAGGTAGAACTCCTGGTCCGTGGGGGGCGCCGCCATGACTGCCTTCCAGACGAGGTGGGCCGGGGCTGGTCGGGGCGGCTGGGCGCGTGGTGCCGGGCGGGTCGCTGGGCGCAAGTTGAGCCTAATTATGGCCGCGGCGGGGGCCGGGGTGGGGGCTGGGTCAGACGCCGCGTCGGTCAGGCCCTGCGAGCAGGGCTGCCTCGCGAAGGCTGCCATCTCGAGTCGCAGCGGCGGTGGGGGTGGGGGGGCGGGGGGGAGAAGCGGGGGGGGGGGGGCAGCAAAAGGGGGTCGGGGTGGAGGGGGGGGGGGGGGGGGGGGGGGAGGGCGGGCAGAAAGCGGGAAAGGGGTGCGACGAGGGAGGGGTCGGCCGACGGCTCGGTCAGTCACTCGGCGCGACTGCCTACGAGGGCCGCCCATATGTTCATAATGTTTCGATGTTCTGGGTCTTTTTTCTCGGAGGGGGAGGAGGGGGAGCGACCGCCGCGAGGGTGGCACGATGCTCAAGGGGGACCGTTGGTGCCGTGTCCCTCCCGGGCTCGTGCCCCTCCGGGCCCTCTTTTTCCATCCCAGCGTTCCGCGCGGTGCTGGCTCCCCCGCCTTAGCGCGCTGCTGGGGGCTGGCAGCCGCGGGGCGCTGGCCGCGGGCCGCGGCCGGTGGCGGCGACGTGGGGCTCCAGCGTTCCGTCGCCCACGCAGATCCCCCCCCGACGGCGGCCCGCCACGGGCCGCGACGACAACAGCGACGGCGGCGGCGACGAGGCCGGGGGAGGAGGAGGGGGAGGAGGAGGAGGAGGATGAGGAGGAGGGGGAGGAGGGCAGAAGGGGCCCCGGGGGAGGACCCACGTGGTCCTACCTCAGCGCCCGGGCGGCGGCGGCGCCCGTTCGGCCCTGTTTGCCCCGGGGCCGTCCGACGGCCCTCCCCCCCGCCGAGGGGGTGGGAGAAGGGCCAGGTCGCCCGGCCCACAGGAGGCCGCGGCCAGCCGGCCCGGTCCAGCCGCCTGGGCTGCCCCACCGGGTATTCTGAGCGCCCCCCAGGGGATTTTGGTGACCTGGGGCGGGCGCCCCGCCTCCGCCAAACCGATCGCGAGGAGCTCGGGCGCGGCCGCCGGGGCCGCCCCGGGGAATTCTGAGCGCACGCGCAGAAGCGCTCAGGATTCGCCGCGGGGCCCCGGCGCGCCGAGACCGGCCGCCCGGGCCCTCGTGGCGAGAGTCGGGGCGCCTCCGTGTCTCGAACGCCCCGCCGCCCGATTGGTTAACCTGTCCAGGCGGCGCAGGCGCCCGGCGGCCGCGGCGGGGCGCAGGCGGCGGCGGGTGCCCAGCCGGCGGCGGCGGCGGGGCGGCCGGGCCACGGCGCCCAGCGGCCCGGGGTCGGCCCAGGCGCCCGGCGGCTGCGGCGGGGCGCAGGCGGCGGCGATGCGGGGCCAGCAGCGGGGCCGGCGGCGCGGGGCTCTACTCGGTCAGGGCGCCACCGCGGCCCCAGCTGCCTCCTGCCTCGGCCATGGGCACTGGGCGAAGAGGCCCGCTTCCTCCTCTTCCACCTCCGAATTACGGCGGAGGTGGGCCGGGATGACGCCCCGCAGGAAGCTGTCCACGAGGCGGCCCCCCAACCCGGGATGGGCTCGCCGCGGAGCTTGACGAGGCTGGACTGCGCCAGGAACTCGTTCGTCTCCGCGAGCAGCTGCTGGCACGTGCCGCCGAACGCCGTGACGAAGTCCGTCGGGGTCCGTCGGGGTGGTCCGCCACGAATGCGGTTCGGTCCACGGGGGCCGGAAGCAACCGCGCAGCGTGGGTCCAGTTAACGGTGTTCTTGGCGAGGAGCGTGCCGTTTCCCGGGAGGCTGCGTTGAACCTCCCGGCACCTCGCCTCGTGTGTCGGGGCAGTCTCGGCCCATTGCAACAGGGCGGACTAGGCGGGAAGGAACCCGCGCGGCACCCACGCGCCATCGCCCTGCAGGCACAACCGGGTGTACTCCCTCGCGCAGTCGTCCGAGTACGGCGCGGCGAGCACCCGGAGGACCGGGCCCCGCAGCGCCAGCTGGGGCAGGTGTCGGATGCTGAAGGGCTGGGCGCGGTTGTCGTATGCCCGCCTCAGCAGGCGGACCAGCTCCTCCACGGACGCTGGCGGCGGGCCCCCTACCTCCTGCAGGAAGCGCAGGAAGCCCATGCTGTTGAAGGCGACGACGAAGGCGATCATCCTGAAGGCGTCGGGGGCCGCAAGGCCGGAGAGCACCTCCATGAGCCCCTTGAATGGGCGATCCTGCGAGATGTGCACGTTGTGGCAGTGCATCCGGTCGATCGTCTCCGCCAACGTTCGCCCACCTTGCGCCCGCGCTGCCAAGGCGCGCTCGATCACGGCGGGGAGGCCGCTCAGCTCACCCGCCGTCGCGCCTTGGACGCATTCCCGGGCCGTCACCGCGAGCACCAGCGCGGCCAGCAGGGCCGCAACCACGGCCTGGCGCCCGTCCGTCCGGCTCTGCGTGCCGAAATATAGGCGCGCAAGACCGTCCACTGCGCCCGCTGGACTTTCGAGCCGGCTCCTCGCACGAAGGCTGCATACCGGCGCCTCGTGCTGTCGGGCAATTCTGCCGCTTCCGGTTTCTTCAGGGCCGCTCGCAGCGCCCTCGGCGTCATCTCCTTCGAGAAGGCCCGCTTACGGCCCCTCGCCGCGGGTGGGGGCGCCGCGTGGCCGGCCGGAGCCCGCAGTGGCGGGGCAGGCAGCGCCGGCGCGCCAGGCGGCGCCGGCAGGGTCTCCGGCCCCTCGGTGGTGCTGCTGGCCTTGTCCAGCGCGGGGCTCCTGGCGGCCCTTGCGCGCTTGGCAATGGCGCTGATGCCCTGTTCCTTCCTCACTGTCCGCGAGGCCGAACGGCCGAGCTGGTCGGTAGTCGCCTGTCGCTGCGCGGGGCCCGAACGGGAGCGGCCTGCATGCGCGCCTGGGCGGGTCGCTGGAGCCCGCGGGGCCGGGCAGCCGTGCCGGGCGGTAGGCGCCTGCCGCTGGGCAGGGCCCGAGCGGGGGCGCGCAGCCCGCGCGTCCGGGCCGTGGGCAGCCGCGGCCCGCGTGGCCGAGCGGCTGCGGGCGGCGCCCGCGGGCCTCATGCCAGTCGTGGCCAGCGCTGGCCCTCCACTGCAGGCGAGCCGCCTGCGGCCCGGCTCCCTTTGCTGGAGGGGCCCAGCTGCCGCGGCCCGTCGGGCTGCCATGGCGTGAGGTTGTGAAGGGGAGGAGGGCCGCCGCAGAGTGAGGGAAGGAGGTGAGGAGATGGCGCCGCCCCCCGCCCTGGCCAGGGGACCCCCCTGACAGTCTCCTCCTCCTCCTCCCGCAAAGGCGTCTCGGGAGCGGGCCCCGAGTCAAAATACCACCCCCCTAGGGCGCATTTTCCTCGAGCGGGCACGCCCGAGATGCACTTCTTCCTCTTCCGGGAGCACGTCCCAATATCACACTCCCGGGGCGCACTTTCTTCGAGCGGGTACACAAAGGATGCACTTCCTCCTCCGCCTCCTTCTCCTCCTCCTCATCCTCCTCCTCCTCCTCCTCCTCATCCTGCTCCTCCTCCTTCTTCTCCTCCTCCTCCTCCTCCTCCTGCACCTCCTGCACCTCCTCCTCCTCCTCCTCCTCCTCCTCCTCCTCCGCTTCCCCCCCCCGCTCCTAGCCCTTTCGATCAGGGTCGGCGGCACCGGCTGTCAGGCCTCTCCAATGAGGGGAAGGGGCCCGGGGAGGGCGGGGGGAGGACGGGGGAGGAGGTGCGGGGGCCCGGGGAGGGTGGAGCGCACGGTCGGAATAAGGGGAAGGGGGGGGGGGAGGACGGGGAGGAGGTGCGGGGGCCCAGGGAGGGCGGAACGCACGGTCGGAATGAGGGGAAGGGGCCCGGGGAGGGCGGGGGGAGCACGGGGGAGGAGGTGCGGGGGTCTGGGGAGGGTGGAGGGAGCACGGCGGCAAGGGGAGGGGGGCGCAGGGAGTCGGAGTAAGGAAAAGGGGCCCGGGCAGGGCGGGGGGAGCACGGGGGAGGAGGTGGGGGGCCCGGGGAGGGTGGAGGGAGCACGGCGGCAAGGGGAGGGGGGCGCAGGGAGGGAGCGGGGAGGGGGGGGGGGGCGCACGGTCGGCCCGGGGAGGGCGGGGGGAGCACGAGGGAGGAGGTGCGGGGGCCTGGGGAGGGTGGAGGGAGCACGGCGGCAAGGGGAAGGGGGGCGCACGGTAGGAATAATTAAGGGAAGGGGCGCCCGGGGAGGGTGTGGGGGGGGGGCGCGGGGGACAGGGCGCGGGGGCCCGGGGAAGGTTGGGGGAGGACGAGGGCAAGGGGAAGGGGGTGCAAGGGAGGAGCGGGGATGGGCGCACGGTCGGAATAAGAGGAGGAGGGCCCGGGGACGGTGGGGGGGCACTCTTGGAGGGGGGCGCGGGGGCGCGGGGAGGGTGGGGGGAGTGCGGGGGCAAGGGCAGAGGGGCGCAGGCAAGCTAGGTGCTCTCGCGTCTTATCTGACGTCCTACCCCTCCCTCCCATCCCTTACCATGGCTTTTCCCTATCGGCGGACGCGTCTCAGAGCGAACCTGGGACTCCGAAAAGACCCCATCGCGCAGGATGATGAGGAAGATGAGTAGACCCCCGTAGCAAACCTGGGGCAATCAGAGCACGATCAGCAGGAAGATGAGCAGGAGAAAAGGGAGGACGACGAGGTCGAAGAGGAGCGCGGGGGGAGCACTGGGGACAGGGCGCGGGGGCCCGGGGAGGGTGGGGGGAACACCGGGGCAAGGGGAGAGGGGCGCAGGGGATGAGCGGGGGAGGGGGGGCGCACGGTCGGAATAGGAGGAGGGGGGCCCTGGCAAAGCGGGGGGAGCACGGGGAACAGCGCGCGGGGGCCCAGGGAGGGTGGGGGGAGCACCGGGGCAAAGGGAGGGCGGTGCAGGGGGGGAGCTGGCGACCAGCCACCAGCACAACCACCAGCATCACCACCAGCGCAACCACCAGCACGACCACCAGCACGACAACCAGCACCTCCACCAGAACGGCCAGCAACACGACCACCAGCACCTCCACCAACCACGACCACCAGCACGACCAGCCAGCATCACCAACCACCAGCACGACAACCAGCACAACCACCAGCACGACCACCAGCACAACCACCAGCACAGCCACCACCACGACCACCAGCAGGACCACCAGCACAACCACCAGCACGACCGCATTACGAGCGCACGGTCGAAATTCGCCGGCCCAACGGGCCAGAGGCGTGCTAAGATCTCCGGTAACTGGTTAACAATTTTCTAGTTCGCGCGCGCGGGGCGGCCCCTGGGGGTCCCCGGACGAAAAGTACCCCGACCAGGTCCCGGCCGGTCCCCGGCCGGTCCCCGGCCGGGTCCCGGCCGGGTCCCGGCCGGGTCCCGGCCGGGTCCCCCCGAGCGCTCCATGAGCGCACCAACAGGGCTCCGAGACGTCCCCGAGAGCCCCAAGAAAGGCCAAGAGGCCCCCAAGAGGCCCCCAAGATGGTACACGAGGGGTCCGACATGCCACAAGATCGCTCCAAGACGCCCAAGATAGCCCCCAGACGCCCCAAGAGGCCTCCAAGAGCACTCCCAATAGGGCCCCCGGAGGCAAAAATCATTGTTTTTCCATAGGTTTTTGAGAGATTTTGGAGCTTCCACCTTTTCGGCTTCCCGACGCCCCAAGACGGCCCAAGAGGCCCCCAAGATCGCCCCAAGAGGGCCCAAGAGGCACCCAAGAGGGCCCCAAGATGGCCCAAGAGGGCTCGAAGACGGCCCAAGAAGCCTCCAAAACGGTCCAAGAGGGCCCCAAGAACGCCCCCAAAGGGGCCCCAGAGAGGGAACACGAAACAACATTTCGAGCCCTCGGCCCTAAGAAGCCCCTACGAGGCCCCTAAGAGGCCCCAAGAGGCCCCCACGGGGCCCTCAGGAGGCCCCCAAGAGTCCCCCAAGCGGCCCCAGGAGGCCCCCCAAATGCCCCCCCGAGCGCCCCAGGAGTCCCCCAAGCGGCCCCAGGAACCCCCAAAGCGCCGCATTGACACCAGGCCCTCGGGCAAACGGCAGACATGAGACTGTATGGGCCGGCGGAATGAGCGAAGCGATTAAATAAAGCAGTGCTAGATCACACCGGTAGGTATGATGATAAGTCCTACGCAGATCACCGCGAGACCTCGCCGTCCCCTGGGGGGCTACCCTCTGCGAATCTGTCGCCCCTTTCGTGGGCGCCCGTGTGCCAGCGGGAGTACGTCAAACCCAGATCACCACGAGCCTCGCCGTCCCCTGGGGGGCATGCGATCTATGAACCTGTCGCCACTTTCGCTGGCTTCTGGGAGGCCCAACGGAGGTGCGCCGTACGCGGATCACCGCGAGACCTCGCCGTCCCCTGGGGGGCTGCGGTCCGCGAAACTGTCGCCACTTTCGTGGGCTCCTGGGGGGCCCAACGGAAATACGCCCTACGCAAATCACTGCGGGACCTTGCCGTCCCCTGGGGGGGCTGCGATCAGCGAAGCTGTAGCCACTTCGTGGGCTTCTGGGAGGGCCGCCGGGGTGACGTCACACGCGGGTCACCAAAAGACCTCGCCGCCTCCTGGGGGGTTGCGATCTGCGAAACTGTCGCCACTTTCGTGGGCTCCTGGGCAAGCCAATGGATGTATGTCCTTCGCGGATCACCGCGGGACCTCGCCGGCCCTGGGGGGCTACAATCTGCGAAACCGTCGCCACTTTCGTGGTCTTGTGGGAACGCCAACGGAATGACGTCATGCGCGGGTCACCACAGGACCTCGCCGCCCCCTGGGGGGCTGCGATCTGCGAAACTGTCGCCACTTTCGTGGGCTCCTGGGAGGGCCAGTGGGGTACGTCATGCGCAAATCACCACGAGACCTCGCCGCACCCGGTGGGGCCTGCAATCTGTGAAGCTGTCGCCACTTTCGCGGGTTCTAAAAAACTCAGCGGGAGGACGTCCTACGCGGGTCACCACGAAACCTCGCCGTCCTCTTGGGGGCTGCGAACTGCGAAACTGTTGCCACTTTCGTGTGCTTCTGGGAGGCCCAGCACAGGTGCGTCCTACGCGGATCACCATGAGACCTCGCCGTCCCCTGGGGGGCTGCGATCTGCGAAACTGTCGCCACTTTCGTGGGCTGATGGGAGGCCCAACGGGGGTTCGTCCTACGCGGATCACCACGAGACCTCGCCGACCCCTGGGGGGCTGCGATTGGCTTCTGTGAGGGCAGCGGAGTGACGCGGCGTGTGCCAGCGGGCGCGGCGAATAGCGCATGGCGCCGTCCGTTGCCCATGCCGTATCCCTTCTTCGGCTGCGTTTTGCTTGTAATGCATGCGGACACATGCTACGTTTAGCGCAAGGCGCTGTACTGTCATAGCGCGCAGGGTGCTGTCCTGCAATGCAAACACAGCGCAAGGCGCTGCGAGTCCCAAGAATTGTCTTCAATCGTCCCTACTCCACATGTTTCCACGCCCCCTCGTGGTCGTTCTCCTTAAGAGGGACGCCGCATATGTGAAACATCTGACTCTGGCCCGACGTTCTGTGGCGAAGTGTTCAAGGGCATCGCGGATCATTCAATGATTGCTTTTGTATTGAACGATCCGATGTGTATATACCACAGGCTAAAAAAAGGAATGGGTGCGTCCCCGGGTTATGGAGGACATGCATTTTTTCTGGTGTCCGTGTTTCACGAGTAACTATCGTGGGTTTCGCGAGTTGGAATGAAAACTCCACGGACAGGGTTACCGATTCAGAGGTGAATGAATCGCCAAACATAGCAAACTTTGATCCTGTGCTGCCGCATCTGTGCCCCAGAGCCGCTAGGAATCCGCAGTAAAACACGGACGAAGAAACTCTGGAAAGCCAGCCGATTCTAGATATCTCGGGAAGACCCGCAGCAGCATGACCTTCGAAGAACCTGTCTTGGTGTGCGATGTTGTCGTCAAACAAATGTT